GGGTGGAGACGTGAGCAGGTGGGCTAGAGCTGACGGGTGGCTGGGATGGACAGCACAAGGGTCTGGTGTCACTTCCGGCTTCCCCCAGCAGGAGCCGCTCTGCTGACGGGCCCCCTGACGGAGCCCCTGGCGCGGGTGGGAAGGGTGGACTGTCCATCTCTAGGGGACCCCTGTTCTCCTTCCGCCAGCTGGGGCGGGCTCCGTCCCCCACAAGCACAGGAAGGGGCCTGGCAGAGTCACAGGGAGCCCCCAAAGCTGGGCTGAGACCCACGGGGGTGCGAACAACCTCCTCCCCGAGTTTGGACACCAGGCCTGGCCCCGGAGACCCTTCAGGTCCCGGGCATTGGACATTCAGGGGGCTCAACGCCTGTGCCTTGCTGGGGGCGTTCCCCCCTCTGTGCGCCACCCACTCCCCACGCCCAGCACCGGGCTGTCCCGCCCACGGCCGACACCCTGGGCTTCCTCTTGTCCCCCAGCTGTGTGTGGTGATGATCTTCCTAGTCTCCGTGATCATGTACCGGGGCATCGTCAGCGTGGTGATGTACCACACAGGCAACGCCGTTCTCATGACCCAGGTGAGTCCTGTGCGCTGCGGGAGTCCTGCCCGGCCGGCGCCATCCGGCTGTGCATGGGGCACGGCGAGCTCTGCTTTCCCCAGTGCCAGGAGTCAAGTGCTGGGCACCTCCCTGCAGAGGGCAGCTCCTCAGGCGGCAAATGCTGGGATTGTGCACCCGGAACACCAGGGCTCAGGGGGCCCCGGGGCCGCATGACCCAGGTGAGTCCTGTGCGCTGCGGGAGTCCTGCCCGGCCGGCGCCATCCGGCTGTGCATGGGGCACGGCGAGCTCTGCTTTCCCCAGTGCCAGGAGTCAAGTGCTGGGCACCTCCCTGCAGAGGGCAGCTCCTCAGGCGGCAAATGCTGGGATTGTGCACCCGGAACACCAGGGCTCAGGGGGCCCCGGGGCCGGGCTTGGAGGCAGGGCTCCTGCCTTCCCCCGACCGTAGAATAGAGCTAGCGCCCTGAGCGCCTTTGGGGGCTGGCGCTGGCCCGGAGCCGGGGGAAGGGCGACTCGGGGAGCGCGTTGCTTGTCTCGCTGTTTTGCAGGCGGGGAACATAGCGAACATCAGCAGCACCCTGGTGAACCTGGCGCTGATCCTCCTCATGAGCCAGGTCTACACCTCGCTGGCGGAGAAGCTCACCCGGTGGGGTAGGTAGGAGAAACCCGTGGCGGTGTGTCTGCTCCGTGTCCTGCAGGGGCCTCCGCCGCGGTCCAGCCCGGACCCGTGTGCAGGGCAGGAGCGA